ATAAAACAATGTTTTATGAAAATAAATAAAATGTAGTAAGTAAATAATTGTCAGAAAGATGCTTGGCTTCTCATCCTCAGAGATGCTATTTGTTAGCTTCTCAAGGGGTGCTTATTCTTCATTAAGATTGTTAATCAGGTGATGCCGTTGCAAATCAGAGAGGGGCTGAATCTGATCTTCACAGCAGAACATTTGTGACGTGACTGCAGAGCCATCAGCTGTGATTGCTGAGCCCAAATGGTCCTTGTGTGCAGGAGCATCTCTTTCTTTGTGGCATAGTCTCATTCTTAGGCAAAGGTGACCCAAAGCAGAAGGGAGGAAAGGGAAGATGCCCAGGGAGGTGGTGGAATCACCATCCCTGGAGGTATTTAAAAGATGTGTAGATGTGGCACTTAAGGGCATGGTTTAGTGTTGGACTTGGCAGTATTAGGTTCATGGTTGGACCAGATGATCTTAAAGGTCCTTTCCAACCTAAATGATTCTGCGAACTAGCAGCTCAGCTGTAAGTGAGGACACTGGCTACACCTCTTGTTTCCCATTTGCATGTGTGAGGCAGCATCCATGCCTCCCTATGTTAATATCAACAGGTGAGGGTTGATACCACTGAAATATTCCTATTCCATTCTTGCAAGTGAAGTGATTTCATGGTTATGTGCAGTTAGGAAGGAGTGGAGTCGGGTAGTGCTCTGAGCCTGCTCTTATTTTAATGAGCAGCAACTCACAAGTAATTCCCTTGATTTTTAATGGGATTAATTGCATGATCATTTGCTGACCACTGTAAGCAAGTCATAATGTGGACCAACAAGGTTTATAGCAGACCTACATGAGTTCAGCACAGAAGTAAGAAGGAAGTTTTTTGGAGCAGAAGGCAGGACTCCATGCAGAACTTACGCAGGAAAGCTGTTGACAAACCCAGAGCAGGTTGGAAAGACAAAGCCTGGGAGGTGATTTTTGCAGTGAGTTATTTGTGGATGTGTATCTGTTGTGACAGCAGCAGGAGGTGGTATGTGTTTGTCCAGCCTGACTCCAGACATGCTGCCCAAATGGGCGGGAAGCTCACTTCCTGGTTTCCATATACCCTCCCTGTTTCCAAACAGATCCCCCACCGTGTGACACAGTGACAGGGTAATGGATTTCTTTCTGCTCATCACATCGGTCATACAACTGGAGGCTTTCCTGTGGTGGGATTCACGTGCTTGTAAGCGGATGAACCGTGTATGAGCTTCCCCTTGTTTGCCTAAATGTAGTGCCAACTTGTGATTTCTTGCCTGCCCAAAGCCACCTACAGCCCTAGCTCCATCCTCCAGGGCTGTGCATCCAGACTTTCCTTCTTTCCCTTCATGCTGGGATGGTTTTACTCTAGGTGATGCGATGACTCTCTCAATTAGCACATCTTGTCCTTAACGTAATTGTCATATTCAAGATGTAAGCAACAGCTTGTGGAGACTGCCCATGTCTGAACAGAATAACTTGGGGCGTTAAGTGAAGGATTTTTTTTTTCCATCTATCATATGTATATTTGCAATAATAACAATGATAATTTCTGTTAATGGAAAAGCATTTGTCACAGAATAAAGAGGTTTTGACTTTCAGATGCTCTGCAGACATCTAATTAAGCAGACTGAAAATCCGTTTATTGCTCTTTGGCTGTTAATCATCCATGTAGGGAAAGTGCTGTGACTACCAGGAGGGGCTTCTGTGGTTCAGCCCTTATCTCCTTCCATTCCTGGCTGCTCCATTTATCTCCGTGGTTAGTGTCTCCTCTTATCCAAGCTAGGCTGAGTGGGGCTTAGGATACCCCATCAGCTCTGGGTGATCTCAGATGTTTCATTCAGACCTATTCCTGTTTTTTTCCCCTCCTCTACATCCATCTCTTCCTCGTTTTCTGCTTTGCATCTTTCTCCATGGAAGAGAGGATACAGAATCCTGCTTTTCTAAGTTTTAGATCTAACTTGCACTGGCTTTGAATGGCAGAACTGGGTGCAGGGAAGTGCTGAGGAAGGCTCCATGCTTCTGCTGCCCTTTGTTTGCCTTTAACATCATGAGAGGTTTCCTGTGCTGCGGAGCTGAAGGGCAGTCATCACGTTCCAGTCTGTGTTGCAGGTTCTCCCTGCCATTAGTACTCATCTATATAGACACTGTCATGCTGGGAGTGCTTTTTTAGATGTTAATGAGAACAGCCAGAAATAGAGGCAGGGGTTTAATTGCTGGGCCTCAGTTATGTCCTTCCTCTTATCCTTTTTAGGATCTGTTGGGTTTCCCATATCACGCCTGAAATTGAGCCAGTAGTTTCCTCCAAAATGTCCAGCACAGCTGCCCAAAACCAGCCTGTCTCTTGCTGGGGCAGCAGAAATGCCAAGCCCAACTTGTTGGTCTAGGGGCTATCCCACAAGCCAGCAGCGAGCGTCCTCTGGAGTCAGGGGCTTGAAGAAGGACTGTCACACTCCTCCATGGGTATCCAACCTTGCATGGCCTTTTAGTGAAGTAGCAACTTCACACCTTGTCTTCAGTTTTACACAAGCATGTGCATGTTGCTCACTGGAATATTGTCTTATGTATCAAATATGAGAAATCTTCTGTGCTTCCCAGGGACTTGGCACTGGGACAGGCTGTATCTCCATCAGTTGCATTGGTGACCTCGTGAGTGCCTCTGCCCCCCCCAGCTCCGTGACATCCAGACCCTCCCAGCCAGAGGCAAGAGCCGGGGTGGAAAGTGTAATCTAGGAAAGCTTAGCCAAACTCTTCCAGCTGCAGTTTATTGTATCTATTTTGCTGATATCCACCCTTTAGATAAATAGCACTAAGTTATACACGTTGTGACTCTCTTGATGTGGTTAAAAAGACTTGTATTAGCCAAGCTAATCTAACTCCAAGAATAACCATGGGAATTTGACTGTATCGGTTCCAAGCTTGAATTAGTCACTGTGTAGTAAAGTGAGAATTGCCTTCCTGGCTAAAAGTGTAGCAACAGCAAAACTTCAAGTCGATCGGTGGGGATTCCTTCCCCCTCTTTTTTTCTTTTCCCTTTGAACAACGCTCCTGCACATGCCTGACCTCAGGCACCCGGAGCTCTACCTCCGAGAAAACAAATTTTCCCATTTTCAATAAAACCCATGTCTCTGTTGGCAGAAAAGTGAGTTAGGTAACAATCCACAAAGCTACGCTCTATTTATTTACCAGGCTGACTCCCTGATGGGGAAAAGTGGGATCTTTTAACTTGTTCTGCTGCACAGATGTTCCTTCTACTCCCGAGCTTCCTCTTGATCTTCAGTTTGCTGTAACATATGGTGAAAATGCTGGAGATGCTGCGGTGTGGTTGAAGAAAGAGAAGGATCCTGTGTGCTTAAAACAAAAACAGTAAAAAAAAAACCAAAACAAAACTGTTTTTTTTTCCCCATGTTAGCACAAACATATTTTTTAAAGAAAATCTGTTGAGCTGGCAAAGCCTCTGTTAACTCACACACCCTCACTTCTGGACACGTAGCACTGATGAGCCCCCACACCTGCAGTTTTAGCTGCGCCTTTAGGTGTTTGTATTGAGTTGTAGATCCAGTTCAGGTGAGGAGACAGGGGTCTGCAAGGTCAAGTAACAGGACTGCTTGCTTTCCTTCCTTATCCTGCACAGAGGGCCTGTGGACTGTGGGTTGACAGACATCTCTACTGGACTATCAGAAACGAGTCACTGGGCTGGCAAGGTATTTGGAGCCGGGGCTGCTGTGTAGGATTAGCAGGGACATAGAACATTGCATCATACATCTGAAACATGGGAGAAAATGAAATAGAATATGAAGATTTGAGTATTTATCTTGGTAGCACCATGGGGTGAATAACAGTGAAAGAATGCAGAGGGTGAATGTGAGGGGTGAGAGGCTCTGTCAGTTTTCAGGCTGAGGACAGTCTCTCTTGGACAGGTCCATGAGGGTGCCAATGGAGAGCTTCTTTTCTTCCTGGCTGAGGCTGTGTTTGGCTTTTCAGTGGTGTTCAGCCTCAGTGGCACTGGTCACTCTGGGCTCATCACCCATAGACAAATTACAGGGCTCATTTAGGAACATTAGGTCAGCATACTGCTTCCCTAGGCTTGCTTCCATAGAAAGTCATTGGTGGTCAGCAGGCTGCTCCACTGTGCAAGCTGACCATAAGCCATCAATACCCCTTTGAGTTCCTTAGGTTGAAGGCTGATTGCAGTTCTGTGGTACAACAGAATCCTGAGCCTAGTCAGCCTTAGGGATGTGTTAGAAACAGATGGCTGTGGTGGACAGGGCTTAGGAGCTGGTGGGGTAAGATCTTAGCTGATGTGGGCAAAACTCTGTCCATAACCATGCTTTGGAGGCTGCTTGTCATGAGCAGCACATCCACCTTGAGTTTTGCTTTCTGACCATTCCTATTGGTGGCATTCTCTGGGATGCTCTGCTCTCCTTCCTCCTTTCTTCCTTTCTCTGCTGCTGTCTCCATGTAGAGACTGCAGTGGAAGATCCTTCCAAAACTCCTATCTCTCTCCCTGGGAAAGCAGGAGTGCTTTGATGGACCAGGGCAGTGGGCAGTGCCTTGCCAGCAAGAGGGCAGAGTAGGTGTTTTATTAAACACACATTAATCCATCTGCTTGGACAGCATGTTTAGCCAGGTGGGTGGCCTGTCACACGGACAGGTGAAAACTGTGTCTCCACCAGTGCGGGCAGGCTGTGGATTAGAGGCAAGGCGTGTGTTCTGTAACGAAGAATAGGAGCCTAATTTTAGAACAGCAGCGAGGCCAGGCTGAGATGTCTGCCTGGGCCCTGTCCCAGCTCCTCTGTGCTGCCAGAAACTTGCCCTCCCTTTCTTTGGAGTGAAGTGTATCGTACCTTTTAATGTACAGACTCCCCCGCAACGAGGCAGAGTGTTTCCTGCAGTTGCTTTGCTTTGCTAATCATCTTTTGAACCACACACAGACCAAGAGATCCCCTGCTCCCTACACAGCCAGGCCATGTTTTCCCCCTAAGACCTTTCCTCTTTTTCCTTTGCAGATGCAGCTTCTGGACAAGTTCCCTATTGAAGGAGGCCAGAAAGATCCCAAGCAAAGGATCATCCCTTTTCTACCAGGTAATGCTGTGGGGAAAGCCCTAAATAAGATGGGTGAGAGCAGTTGGGGACTTCAGTTCCCCAACCACAGTCTCTAGTACTTTTTGTGACCACTCTTACAAATGCCTTTTCCCTGGGAGCTTGTATATACAGCTTTGTGATACCAGACCTCCACCTCCTCCTAAAATAACTGGCATGGTGTTTAGGGCTCCCAGGGGATCTTGCATCAGCTGTTGAGGTTCAGGTTGGTTCCTGCCCTGCCACACAAAGGGATTCAATGGCTTCTGGGGGGCTGTGCCTGTGGGGTGAAAGCCTGGCAGCCCCCCAGTCTGAGCTTGGGCTGCCAATTCAAGGCCACTGGAGACCAGGGACACCGTCGGTTTTGTTTCTTAATGCTGTGGTTCTGCAGGTATTGTTACTGTACAATAAGGAATGAATAATCAGAGTTGCCACTGTGTTATAAAGGAAACTGTAAGAAGGTTAAATGCAAACAGGGATTTCTGCAGTGTTGGCCAGAAAGATAAGTAAACATCTCTTTGGCCTGAGCCACTGTCTCTCTGACAGCTTTCAGAGAGGGCTTGGACATGATGGATATCCTCTTCTCAGGGTAATGGCACACACTTCCACACAGTTTCTTCCAGCAGTGACTGCAGGGATGGCATGGGGGAGATGAGCCAGACCACAGCATGCTCTTGGAAACGCACACTCGGGCCAGCTTGCTATTGTCTGACTGCACGGTTCTGGCTGTTGAAGTTTAGATCGCTGTGCTGCCTGCCAGAATAAGTGGAGTATTTTCAGCCTCTGAAAAGGTTCCTTCTGTCTTTAACTATAAACAGGAGATCCCAGCTCTTCCCCAAATGTCTGTAAAGAGAAGCTGGGATGGGAAGGTTTAGTCCTCTCCAGGAGAGTGCTGCGGTCCCCAACACTGTTTGCAGGCAGAGCAGCTGCTCCAGATGTGTATTGAACACAGTTCTAGGGCTAGCAAGGAAGCAGGGACTTGGAAAGCAGCAGCACAGATACGTGACACAAGCATTGGAGCTGCAGTAGGGCAGCCTAGCAGCTTCCACGGGCCTTCTGGAAAGCAGCCCCAGGACTGGGGTTTGCTCCCTGCAATGCCCTATGCTGCATCCAGACTCTCTGCAGACAGGGAGAGGTGGTGTTGGCCTCCATTTCCAACCTGGCATGAGGAGAGTGGTCCAAGCATGAACTCTCTTTCCAGTTGTGCCACCAACAAGCTCACAGACACGTCACTTTGTAGTACCTCTGTATGATGAGGATGGATAGTGCTGGTCTGCCTTTCTTGCTGGAAACCATTTTGAGATTCTTGAAAAGCACCATACAGGGGTACAGACAGCTTTAGGTGAGGTGCTGCAGGAACATCTCTGTCTGCAGGTGATGGTTGTTCCTTCTGGATTGAGCATTGATGGCCCATTTCTTTTACTTTGTCCTAGAAAAAACGTTGGCTGAGTGCAAGCGACTGATGCTCAGCCTGTGTGCAGTTCTTAGTGATGGATGTCCTGATACATGGGCGGGTGATACTTGCAGAGGATGAGATACATCCCATATGCCCATTACAACACTTCCTACCCCTCCCACCCTCCAACAACATGAGGGAGATGGCACTGCTGCATATCCGTGAGGGGAAGAATTATATCTGGAAAACATTTGGATTGACTTAGTATCCCAAAGAGAGAAGCTGCCAGAAGAGAATAGACCTCAGCTGTATTTAATTTAGAATTTTTGTGATATACGTCCTACTTTTGATATCGAATCTCTGCCTCTCTCTTGGTGAACCACTGAAAAGCCCATGTTGCTTTACCGGGGAACAAGGTGACTCAGCTGAATGTCAAACAATGTCAAAGTCTGTTAAACAAACTAGCTGCCATAATTAGAATCCGCATGGCATTTCTGCAGCTGGAACCGTGGATCCCTGAAACGAATGCCTAGCTATAGGCTGAGAATTAAAAACCAGCAGGGCAGATGTTTGTACTTAAATCCTACTTTTATGAAAATGTTATGATTTTGCTTGCTTATTATGGGCCTGATTCAGCCAAGCTGGAGTGATTCTGCATGCTGGGCTCTGCGTGCCTGGGGTTTGCCTGTGCCACTTTCAGGCTAGGGCAGTTTCCCTCCATCGGGTCTGGTTTAGGAAGCTGACTGATGCCAGCCCGTGTCTCTTGCTTGTCAGCAATGCTGTGGTGCTCTCCTGAAATGAAAGCGTGCACAGTTAGCTGTGCATCTGGAGGAAGAGACTGACCTGTCCAGATCCTGTTGCTTGGCCACAGTCATGCTATGTCTCAGCTTACTCCGTACAAAGCAGGGGTAGTGGTGCATGCATGATTTATGAGGAAAACAAAAGGTGTCCCACTGGCCTGTTCTGCCCCCAGATGTACATCTCTCTTCCTCCCCCTGTATGCACAGATTGTAAATCCCCTGGGTACTGGAAAGTGGCTTGGTGCAGGTTTCATCCCACTCGGGTGCAGATGGCTGCTGCTTTTCTGACCTGTTACATATTGGCTGTGATTTTTTGCTTTACGCGCAGATGATAGCCCGCTTTGCACTCACCACTGCTGGTTTCAGGTGGTTTTATGGTTGCAAACTACTGGGCAAGGTGCCTCCCTGTTGGGTCATTCAAGGCTAAGTATTTGACTGTGTTGAAAGCCTTTTTACCTGTAAAAAACAAGAGGAGTGTAACAGAGCTCAGTGCCCTGCAAGGAGAGACCATTCTGGGTTCAACAGCAGGAAAGCACAGTTTTTCTTTCCTCTAGATACCTTTATCTTATCTTTAGCAATTTCTTTTCCCCACTGCCGTCTTACACAAGTATGGACTCTACAGCTTTCATTGCCATGAAGAGGAGCAAGGAAATAAGCAGTGTCAGATAATCCTGTAAAAGATACGCTGTGGATAACTTTGTAGTTTTGCTTACCCTTGTGAGGGTCAATCCCGTGCCTTCAATTTTTCTGTGAACTTCTTTTCCTTTACCATACCAAGAAGGCAAACCTGGTATTTTTCCTCCTCTTTCCTCATTTTATCTTTTTTCCCCATGAGTTTCCCCTTCTTCTTTCTGATTTCTCTTTTGACTGTTGGAAAAGTTTGCATCAGGGAAGGCGAGGCAGAAGAAAACCATATAAGAAACCACGTTTGTGGGGTGGCCAGAGAGCATTTTTGTAGTTGGTGGTATGAAATTTTGGGTTTGAAGGATGGAGGGAGACTGTGGAAGAGTTAGAACAAAATTGGCCGCAAAGCCGACTTTCTAGACTAAAGGTGGCTTGTCACTGTAAGAAGACACAGGTGAAAATGCTGTTTAACTGTTCTAGTGTGGCTTTTGGTTGAGCCCATTTGCAATGCACTGATTTCTCCATGAGCTCTCCTGCTGCACCTCTGAAGAGCAACCTTTGGAGTGTGGATTTGAAGCTTTGCTCCCTCCCCGTCAAATACTTCAATATCTGCATCAACAGAGAGAAGAGGTTATAGATTTGCGTTCCCTGTTTCAGGAATGTTGGGGTAATTAATGAAGGAGCTTCTGCTGGAAGGAAAAGACTGGTCTGCTGAGCTTCTGGAGGACAGGGTGGCAAATACAAATGGCAGAGACAGGGCGATGCAGCTCTGGGATTAACAGTTCTGCAGTGGTTGACCCAGGACTCAAGGGCTTGCATTGTTTTTCGTTTCTTTTGGCACTAAGTGGAAGAGCCATCTGGAGACAAAGCTGAAGTTGGAGGGGTGTCAGCTCTTCTTGCTCCTCTTGTCTTCCAAAGCGTAGCCTTGGGGAAAACACACTGCACAGCATGAAATCCTCCCATTGTGCTGGCTACTGGGCTGCAGATCCCTGCTATGGAGAGGGTCTTGGGCTTTCCATGGCACAGGGGGCTGGGCACTGATGATGACAGCACCCTGCACTTTCTACCCAGATTCCAGCTTGGTCCCTGCCGGGACTTCAAACAATTTTGAGCCCTGTTGAAAAAAACAGGAGGTTTTTGCATAGTTCTGGAAGGGGAAAATCCTCGCAGGGTCCGTGCTCTGCAGCTTCCCTGCTGCCTGGAGAGGGAGACATCCCGCTTGAGGAGACTGCTTTGTTTGCCTGATTTTCCTTACCCTAGGGAAGCTGAATCCTGTCCCAGGGGGACTGGGGGGTGGGTGCAGGCTGCCCTACTGGCTTGGTTAGGCAACTGCAGAAGCAACAGACCAGCTTGGCTCCAGGCCCTGCCTCCAGCACCTGCCAGAGAGGCGCCTTCTTCTCTCTTCCTTTCTTTTCCACTCGGATTTTTCTGCTCCCTTGATTAGGGCAAGGAAAGGGGAAACCATCCGTTTCAGGGTGCATGCTGCCAGTGGGGCTTGGTGGCTGTGTCCCAGGGCACTGGGAGGGATGCCAGCATGGTGGATGAGATGTCAACCAGCCTTTGCCTGGACCTGCTGAGCCCTGGTGACCTGCTTTCCTCCCAGGAAGAGAAATGCCCTGGCACCATGTCAAAGGGGTCACTGGAGCTTTCTCCTTACTCGGCCCCAAGGCAGCAAGAACATGTGGCACCTACTGGGGCATTTTAAGGACAGGCAGCACATACAGCGTGGCAGGAAGATCCCTGCAGGTTTAGCCCTGCTTTGCTCCTGGGCTGTGGTGCATGGTTCATGCCAGCAACAGCGGGTGGGGAGCAGGGTGAGCTGCTCCGTGCCGGGCTGCCTAATGTCTGCAGGGCTCCTGGTTCCCCGAGGAGCCCCAGCCTCTCCTCCTGCCCTGTTCCCCCGGCAGAGCAGGAGCCGGGAGCGTGAGCCTCAGCCCAGCCTCATCCCATGTGTGAGTCAGGATGGCTGCGGGAAGGGAGAGGTGCAGTCGCACAGGGCGCGAGAGGCCACCCAGCACCGCCCAGATACCTGGGGCTGGCGGGGGGTGCCGGCAGGCGGGGAGCACTGACGGGAGCCTCCCCATTTTGCACAATGCAGGAGAATGGGGAATAATCTCTCCCCAGCGCCAGCCGGGACGTTCCTTGCCTCCGTTCCTGCCACTGCAGTGGGGAAGGAGATCTGC